TAAAAAAAAATAAAGAAAAACAAAAAATACGAAAGAACAAAATGGGAATAGATTCTACCTCCTCCTCGGTTATTCCTGGGTTCGACAAAGAGCGAGATAAAATTGTTTTGATTGATCAGGTCCCCATATTGGATCCGTCATTTTTAATTCTACAATTTTTATATCGGATTTGTTTTCAGCGACATGAAAATCCCTTATCATTTCCTTAGATTTTAAAAACATCTCTAATAACCTGAGCTTAAATGCAACGAATGAATTACTCGTTCTTGTAAATACAAGAGGTAGTTCCCACAAAATCGGTGAATGACACAAAGGTAGATTCACTTGTAAAAGACATGTATTTTTTTATACGTGCCTAATCTTACTTTTAAGGGGTAAAACATCCCCTGAAAGGTGATTCGCTACATTTGGTTTTGGGGGAATATCTTCGAAACCGTGAAAGATAAAAAATTGTTTGAGGTAAGTTTAATGGTAATTAACGTTGAAAATGGTATAATCAAATTTTGTAACAATTTGATATTTTGCAAAATACCACCATAGCGAGTAGTTTACGGATTATTTTCCAAAAATGGCATTTCGGAAACCAACTTTGTTATATATGGTTGAATTTGGAGTAAAATTTTCTTTAATTTTTATCCTAAAAAATTTTTTAGTTTTGCAAAATTAATTGATGGTGGTGGGGGTATTTTGCAAAATATCAAATTATTGCAAAATTTGATTATACTGTCTTTAAGAACGTTAATTACCATTAAGCTTTTATTTGAAACATTTTTTTTATCTCTCATGGTTTCGAAGATATTCGCTCAAAACCAAATATGTCAAATTACCTTTCAGAGGGTGTTTTCACCCTTAAAATTGCACCATTGCCGATATAAAAAAATACGTGTCTATTATTTTTGACTACTCTACAAGTGTACTGAGTTTAAATAAAATCGGCGATTAACACAAAGGTAGGTTTGCTTGTCAGTGGGACACGTCCACACATTTCTCCGTCCCAGACTAGACTAAATAACTTCCTTGAAATTTGATGTTAGTGGATAATAAAATATAACTTTCATATGAATTAGTTTCTTGTGACGCTTTATTTTATTAAAGTAGGTGGAGCGATATCTTGTACATGTTGATCACTCTAATCAGCTATAAATTTACATTATTTAATTGCCTGAAATAATTAAAAAGTTGTAATTCACTAAACAAAGATTTTAAGTACTTCAAGATCTCATAAGAACGGATGTGTAATAATTATGAAATATTTTAAGAGTGTAATTTTGTTTTGAGGGTTCTTTTTCTCAAAAACTGATTTACTTAAACAAGATAATGAACGAGTACCTTAATAAAAATATTTTCCTTCGTTTTCTACCACTTTTTCCCATCATTCTGACAAGAGATGGATTCTGCGACAATAAAAAGATTCTTCTTTAGAGTTGATTCAATTTTCAACAAATTTTCGCATTTCTTCCAAATTATGTACGTGTGTATCCTCTAGAGCATGTTGCATCGACCGAAACAAATGATAATCAGATAGAGCAATGTCTGAAGAATACACGGGGTGCGGTAAGACTTCCCATTCTAGCTCTAATAGTGTTTACTTCCCTGATAATGCAACATGAGGTCGAGCATTGTCGTGAAGAAGGATCACTTTGCGTCGTTTATTCGCAATTAGTGATCGTTTTTGGTTCAATGATTATTTCAATTTATATAATTGTTGTCGATAACGATCAGCGGTGAGTTTCATTCGGATTTAACAGTTCATAATACGCAACATCTTCTTCTTGATCCCACCAAATATACAATATCTTTGCATCGTGAATATTACGCCTTGAAGTGGATGTTGTTGATTGGCTTGGATCAAGCCATGATTCTTTTCGTTTGGGATTGTCGAAATAGATATATTTTTCATCCCCACCCTTACGAAAAAAATACTTAAATATTGAGTGTTTACACTCAGTTGTTCGAATTTACTCTTAAATGTGGGTATATACTCTCAAATTTCAGTGTATATACCTACATTTAAGTGTTTTTTCCGTAAGAGCAGTAACAATTTGATATTCGATAAAACTCTTAATTTTTTATTTGAGGATCAACGAAATACAAATGTTCAATCGGTTTGCAATGGCATTTTCCTTTTTTATAATGATTGTGATAATTGATGCAGAACCCATTTTCTTTGTGAATCTTCCTCGTATCATGTAAACGTTTAGTAACTATTGCACGATCAACATTTAATGCTCTAGCAAGTTCTGAAGTAGATTGTGCTGGATTTTCATCCAATAATGCTTACAAATTTGCATTCTTAAGCTTATTTGATTGCCGCGAGTGATCTTTATTGTTAACATTGAAATCACCACTTTTGAATTGTCTAAATCAATATTCACATGTCTTAATTGATGAAGCAGCATTACCATAAGTTTCTATGAGAATTCTATGATCTTTAACCGCTATTTTTTTTTTATTAAAAAATAAAAGCAACGAATGTCGAAAATGCTATCTAAGAAAGTCTATTTTTAAAATGGTATTAACATGATTTCTACTGCGTCTATTGTTAACAAATGATTAAATATCACAGATTAATATTAAAGCATTAAGAAATAATAGCTGTGATTGTTTTCGACAAAATTGACATTAGTGCCATTTCTTGCAAAACCCTCAAAACTAAATTATACTCCTAATATAATAAGAATAAAACACTTTATATGTAATATTTAAGACTTCTGAGTACTCACTGCGATTTTAGATAATGACATTAGAGGCAGGAAATGCGTGCATACAGTACTACAACTATCCACTGAGCGCTCAGTGAGTTCGTATATTTAATTGACATATACTCTTAAATTTTTAAATATATGCCAGTCAAATCGAATATCTTTTTATCTATTAGGTGTACAAATGAATAATCCAAATTATTTTAAGCAGTTATGAAATCAATTTTAAATTAAATAGATTTTCCCGCTCTTTTATGATTATGCAATGTTGACATATAGCATATTAAAAAGAACATATAGTTTGGTGAAAGGCCCAACATAACCTTCAAAAGTATTCAGTTCAGTAAATGGTCGAAAATGGCAACAGATAAGGTGCATATCCGACACTGCATTCTTTACGAATTCCAACAAGGAAAAAATACTGAAAGAGCGTGCGAATCGATTTGTTCCTTTCTCGGCGAAGGTGTTGTATCGTACGATGTGTGCGCATTTTGGTTTAAGCGGTTTAAAAGCGGTAATTTCAGTCTAATCGACAAACAACGCCCTGGAGGCCTTCCGAAGTGCGATAAAATGATTTGGAACAACTGCTCGCTGAGAATTCGGCGCAAACACAAAAAGAGCTTACAGAACAGTTGGGAGTAACGCAGCAAACGATTTCCAAACGCCTACATGAGATGGAAAAGATTCAGAAAGAAGGAAAATGGGTTCCGCATGAACTCACTGAAACCAACAAAAATCAACGAGTGGCAGCGTATCTTTCTCTTCTCAATAAGCAGTGTCGAAAGTCTTTCTTGTGGAAAATCGTTACGGGCGATGAGAAATGAGTACTCTATGACAATCCGAAACGCAGAAAGTCATGGGTAAATCCCAGCGAATCATCAAAATCGGTCGCAAAACCCAATCGCTTCGGAAAGAAGGTTCTTCTCTGCATTTGGTGGGATATCAAGGGCGTGCTTTATTATAAGCTACTGGAACCGGGTGAAACAGTTACTGCGGACTGCTATCAACGTCAATTAATCTGCTTGAGTCAAGAATTGGAACGAAAACACCCATATACTAGCAAAGGAGAACGTCCAGTGAAATTGTGCATGACAACGCCAGGCCACACATTGCTTCCAATACAAAAGACACCATAATGAGTCTTAGCTGGGACGTCTTGCAGCACCCGGCGTATTCACCAGACATTGCTCCATCCGATTATCACTTGTTCCGGTCGATGTAATACGCCTTGTCCAATATGCACTTCCAATCAGTGGATGAGATCCGAAAATGGCTTGACGACTTTATCGTGTCCAAAGACGTAACATTTTTCCGAGATGGAATTCATCAGCTGCCTGAAAGATGGCTTAAAGTTATAGAAAGCAACGGCGAATACTTTGATTGAACAATTTAATTTACTTTTAAAATAAACCTTGAATGTAGCTGAAAAAATTAGATTATTCATTTGTACACCTAATAGAAATGACGCACAAGAATTTGGAACACGTGTTTTTTCACTTCTGATGTCATCAATGAAGAATTCTGTAGTGAAGGATTAGGAACCTTAACACTTTTGATGACCGCATATTTCGCATACAGCTTCTTACCTATACTGCTAGTGACTTTCACGTAGATCTTACCGCATGTCAGCACTTTTCACTATTATAGTGTAATTATGATACATTAAAAAAAATGTATTGAATCCATCATCATTATTGAAACTAATATAAAATACTTCAATAAAAGATGAAAACTAGCTAATTCTAAATACTACGTTGTAAAGGAAGCGGAATTTTATTTCAATCTGAGATACAGACAGTGTCTATGAATTGTCTGAGCTCAAATAATTGATAAATAGAAATTGGGAGGAACAAAAAAATAGTTGACGATGAAAAGATGAACATCAAATACAGAAGTCATTTGTTTAATATTTTAATACTGTTTAAATGAAAAAAAGGAAACAAGCAAAATCATATACGTGATGCTGAGTGACAACCGATGAGATCACGCCTATGTGATACCGGCTGATAACTGCTGGACACGAGAAATATATGACAGCAGTTGTCAAAGTGTTAAATTTCTTTTTTGAAACTCCTTTACTATAAATAAATTACTTTATTTTTAAAGTGATATTTTAAGATATAATGCATGTGTTCGTAATAATAAAATAATATCAAACGAATGTAGAAATAATTTCTGTATGTAAATATGTTAATTAAAAAAGTAGCGTTTTCAGTAAACGGATAAGTTTTGTTATATTTATAATTATTTATGATAGATAGTTATTATAATTTTAGTTATTATAATTATCGTATATAGGAACTTCTTGGAGCTGTTTGAAAAGGAATCAGAATACGAACCTATCTTGTGAAGGGTTCGATATATCGATTACGTCATCGTTGGATAAATGTAGAACATTTAATTCAGTAAACCATGGTAGATTATCCAAAAGAATTTCAATGCGAGTTGTATCTAATAATAACACAAATATTAAATGTGATGTTAAAGATCCATTCCTCGAGGTTTTTGGAATAACAGCAAAGGATTCATTTTTAAAATCGAAAGTATTACGTAAGAATTTTTTCTTCACATTATGATTGCGTGCTGGTCACATATATAAAATATTACGTTTTCACTAATGTAAATTAAATATTTACAGATGAAAATAAATCGATACACAATGTCGAATATGACGGCAAAGACCGAAATTTTGAAAGTCACCCAGCAACTGCAAAAGACATTGTATTAAAACGGTGTTCACAGAAACACTACCTGCTTTTCTCAGAATGTTTTCCAGACTCGTATGTAGATCTTTATATACAGGATGTTTCATTTTAAGTGATATGGTCGATTATCTTGATTGATTATCCCTTGAGAATCAATGATTTTATGGAAAAATTTTTCGAATGAAAGTTCCATGGCTTGAAGGGGGACACATGATGGAAATGAGAACTTGATCTTGAGTGACCTTGTTAAAATCAGGTCAAGGTCATTAATGTTTTTTTAAATAGAAATCCCTATTTTTTATTACATATTCTTGTAGCTTATCTCGAGAGCTTTCCAAACACTATAATAGAATTACGTTTCATTGAGTACTTTCCGAATTATGAGGCTTGAAAGTTAAGGCAAGACCGATCACTGATCCGGCCAACTAAGGCAAGACTTATCAACGGCTAAAGACATATTCAAATTGATCTTGCCTTAGTTGGCCGGATCAGTGATCGGTCTTGCCTTAGTTGGCCGGATAAGTGATTGGTCTTGCCTTAATTGGCCGGATCAATGATCGGTCTTGCTTTAATTGGTCGGATCAGTGATCGGTCTTGCCTTAGTTGGCCGGATCATTGGTCGGTCTTGTCTTAACTTTCAAGTCTTATAACGCGGAAAGTACTCAATGAAACATAACTTTGTTATAGTGTTTTGGAAAGCTCTCGAGATAAGCTACAAGAATATGTAATAAAAAATTGTAGTTTCTATTTAAAAAAAACATTAATGACCATGACCTGATTTCGACAAAGTCATTCAAGGTCAAGTCCACATTTCCATCATGTGTCCCCCTTCAAGCCATGCAACTTTCGTTCGAAAAATTTTTCAATAAAATCATCGATTCGCGAGATAATCAACCATATTACTTAAAATGAAACATCTTTTGTGTGTGTGTGTGTGTGTGTGTGTGTGTGTGTGTGTGTGTGTGTGTGTGTGTGTGTGTGTGTGTGCGTGTGCGTGTGCGTGTGCGTGTGCGTGTGCGTGTGTGTGTGTGTGTACATTTATATACATATATTAGGAGTACAAATAAGTTTCCGCCGTTTTCCATCAAAAATTAGGAATGTATTGTGAAAGAACCGTACATTACGTTTTATTCAAAGTACTGTCCATCACTAGCCACTACTTTTTCCCATCTTTTTGGCAGTATTTGGATACCACGTCGGAAGAACTCTTCATCTTTTGAGGCTATCCACGAATCGACCCAATTTTTAGTATCTTCATATGATATAAAGCGCTGCTTAGGCAGGCCATGTGCCATCGACCGGAACAAGTGATAATCGGAAGGGACAATGTCTGGTGAATACGGCGGGTGGGATAGGACTTCCCAATTAAGTGTTTCTAAATAGATTTTGGCCGGTTTTGCAACATGTGGCCGAGCGTTGTCATGTAGGAGAATAATTTTGTCGTGTCTGGAGTAGTAATGGGCGCGTTTTTCCTTGAGTGCTCGGCTCAATCTCATTAATTGTGTTCGATAGAGAGCTCCAGTAATGGTTTCGCTCGGTTTGAGCAACTCATAATACGCGACACCAAGCTGATCCCACCAAATACACAGCATGAGTTTTTTCGATGTTGAAGCATGGCCAGGTGGTCCCCATAATTTTCTCTTCTTTGGGTTATCGTAGTGGATCCATTTTTCATCACCAGTGACTATACGATGCAAAAAACCCTTTCTTTTATGCCTGGCAAGCAGCATTTCACACGTGCAAAATCGGCGTTCAACGTCTCTCGGCTTCAGTTCATATGGAACCCAATTTCCTTGTTTTTGAATCATTCCCAACGATTTTAAACGATGTGAAATTGCTTGTTGAGTCACTTCTAATGTAAGTGCAAGTTCTTCTTGCGATTGGCACGAATCTTCCTCCAATAATGCTTTCAATTCTGTGTCTTCGTACACTTTCGGCCTTCCACTACGTTCTTTGTCTTCCATGTCAAACTCACCGTTTTTAAACTTTTGAAACCACTCACGACAACTTCTCTCACTTAAAGCAGTCTCACCATATGCTTCTACAAGCAATCGATGCGCCTCAGCTGCAGATTTCTTCAAATTAAAGAAGTAAATCAAAAGTTCCCGCAAATGACGCTTATTCGGCACAAAACTTGACATTTTCGCACGAAAAAAATTATGTGATGCTGATACGGAGTCACTAATACTTCAAGGTTATGTTGTTACCAGATGTCCAAATTTACGATATTACGCTTTACATCTGACAATTTCAACATAACCTTCTGGTGGGGCCATCTTTTGTCAAACGGCGGAAACTTATTTGTACTCCTAATATATTTATATGTAAGATATATATATATAGTATTTAATAGTATTATACACGGTGTCCCATTTTACATGAGCCAGGCAAAAATCTCAAAAAATATGAAAGGCATTAAGGAATGTCTCGAAACCTACAATATCATTCTTGACTAAATAGAAACTAAATAGAGCAAGTCTAATATTATTTTTTCTTTCGACAAATAGGTAGCGAAATATCCTAAGTTAAATGTTGCAAAAGTTACCAAATTTTCCTTAAATATCTCAAAAAATATTAGGCAAATAAAGAAATGTTTCAAACAAAAGTTACTAAAATTATTTGATAGAAAAAATGATATATTAAGAAAAACAATGATCAATAAATATGTCGAAAGTGATGCTATCTGTAAACAAAATGATACAGTTGTTTTATGTCCCCCTTTAAACCATACAACTTTTGTCTGAAATATTTTGTAGTATCTCATATTTTTCGAAATTTTTGCTTCGAGATTTTTGCTCATTTAAAATAGGACACTTTGTATAACTATTCAGTTTTCATTATAGATATTTGAAGCATTGTCGTAAAATTGGCGAAGGTGTTTACGGAGAAGTCTTTTTGTATGAACGTGATGATGAAAAATCAGTTATAAAAATTATTCCTATAGAAGGGGAAAAATTGGTAAATGGAGAACCGCAAAAAAAATTTAATGAAATATTATCAGAAATTGTGATTGCAGAGTGAGTATCAATTCTACGATTATATTGAATCGATGAAAATTATACCGATTAAAATTGTAAAAATATTTACAGGGAATTACATAATATGAGATTACATTCTACATATAATACTAGTGCATTTGTAGAAGTTCGAAATATTAGATGTATTATAGGTAAATATCCAGGGAAACTCATAAAACTATGGAATATTTATGATGACGATAAAACATCTGATAACGATTGCCCGTCAATGTTTGAGGAACATCAGTTATATATCGCACTTGAACTTGGTTACGGTGGCGAAGATCTCGAAGCTTTTGCTTTTCAAACTGCGGAAGAGGCTTATGCTGTCTTTTTACAGGTATCATTTGTGTGATGCGTCATTTTTCAATGATCATATTTCATTATCCATTCAATGTCCAAATTTTTACTTCTTATAGACCGCATTAGCATTAGCGGTAGCAGAAAAAGCATTCGAATTTGAACATAGAGATTTGCATTGGGGCAATGTATTAATATCAAAAACTGAAGAATCATATATATATTATAATCTTGATGGGAAAAAAATAAAGTTTCCTAGCAATAAAGTAAAGGTATGTTCTATCGAGTAAAATACATTTCATATATATTGTTTCCTAGACTTTCCCTTTTAGTAATTTTTGTGAATCTTTCCCAAGGTATCAATCATTGATTACACTTTATCAAGAATGTTATACCAAGGATATTGCATATATAATAATCTTGCAATGGACCCGGCTTTATTTATTGCTCGTGGTGACTATCAGTTTGAAATTTATCGTCTTATGCGCGACAAAATCCAGTAAGTTTATATATCTTGTCTTAATATTGGTTATTTCATCAAACAATTCTAGAATTTCTTCAATTATTTATACAGGAATAATTGGCAAAAATTTGAACCATACACAAATGTTTTATGGTTACATTACATCTTGGACAAAATGATAACAACAGTAAGATACAAAAGGAAAAACTTAAAAGCGCATAAACAAGCTATTAACAAATTAAAAGAACTTAAAAATAAAATTTTAAATTATGATAGTGTATATAATTTTGTAAATGACTCTAATAGCGTCAAGCAATGTATGTTGATATAAAAAATAACATCTCTGAAAGAAATCAATACCAGTAATAAATACATGTATATTATAATATTCACAAATTTCTTTCGTACCTATCGCCTGAGTTTATACAGGGGGGTGTCTCATAACTAATGTTACAGAGCTCATGGAGACATAAAGCGGATTAAGACAAACATAAAAGTCTCATATCGTTTTGCGAGATTCATAATAATTATCGAATTGTTAATGAGAGAGATCTGAGGAGTGGAAGCGCGCCGACACAGATGATTGGAGAAGCATTGCAGCCATTTCGATAAGAGCGCGGCCCAGTCGATCAAGCAACTATTACCGGTGCGTGGCAAGGAGAAGAACAACGCGCCGCTATTCGTGTTTTATTTCGCCGCTCCTACGTCTCGCCGCACGCCACAAATAGTTGCTAGATCGATAGGGTCACGCTGTTGCCTGAGAGGCTACGACATTTCTCCAATCATACATTTCGGCGCACTCACTTGTCAGATTTCTGTCATTAATAACTCGATAATTATTGCGATTCTTGCAAAATTGTATTTTTTCTTTTCAGCTTAACCCAATCCACCTTCACACTTCGGGTTGGTAATTAATTATCGGACACCCTATATATTAATGATAATTATTTCGTATACAGGGTATCTCCCAAAACTTTTAAATCTTTGTTGATGGAGTAGGACGAATAAAAGTGAACAAAAGAGTTTAATACCGTTGTATGTTATTGTCAGCAATGATTGAGTTATTAACCCTTAGACCGCCGGGATTAAAAAAATAAATAAATGTCCTTATAGCCATAAAAACTAGTACTAAAGTACCTTAACATATTGCCAAAATATGGACTGATATGTCCTAGTCAGTGGATGACACTATATATGGCGTCATACCGGCGGAGAAAGATACGGAGCATTATAAAAATAATGCTAACAAAAAATGTTTTTATAATATATATTGGGCATATTTTTTCTTTAGAAAATATAACATTACAATAAACATAGTAAAAGTGAATTGAACTGAAATAAACTGAAATAAACTGTAGTATCATTAAATGAAATCATTTTTGAAACGTAAACTTTAGAAAAGTTTCCTTTTCCAAAAAATATTGTAGAATATTTGATATTATTCAGTCTTATAATCTTATAATCATTGAAATAAATACTTAATATAATAATACTTAATATCTCGTTACATCAGTTGTTTTTCAGCTGATAAACAACTAACCTTGTTGTGCTTCTTATTTGTCTTTGCGCACAATTGCAATCAATAAAAATTTTTCGCGAATGTGTCTACAATTATATTAGTATTGATTATTTTTTTTTATACTTAAGATAAAAAATATGATTATATAAATTTGTCTACATATTATATATTGTACATAATTTTCCTTCTATAAAGCTGAAGGTTCTCCTCGTTAGTGCTCATTGGGATATATTTATATATAAATTTACTTAAAATTCGCATATGCTTCTTGAATCTCTTGATATATTTCTTTTTGCACTTCTCTGTATATTTTTTTTTATTCTCGAACTTGTTCCTTTTTTTCTTCATTATCTATTTTTGACATTTCTGACTTTCGGTTCGTAGCTTTCAAGCAATGCTGTGAAACTAACCTAACACTTTTTCTCAGCTTTTATAAACGACACCAGCACGAACCTAGGAACCGATTACCGATCAGGATTCAATAAGTATCTCTTAATTTTTCCACTTTTCTTAGATCATAGTAGTGGCAGCACGGACCAAGGGATTACTTCGGAATTACTAATTAGAATCCGAGCTGTATGCGCAGACATTTATCGTGCGTAAATGTACGGATTTCTAACTGGGAACTGACCAGAAAATCTTACATTTTTCCAGACATTAACTAAAACCAGGTTCTACGTTAAGAAAACAGGTCGAAATCCATTTAGCTTTCCTTTTTCGAGGAAATCTCACCGGATCCGACAATAAATAGGAAAAAGATAGGGAGATTTCTACACGAGAAGGTGAGGGTGAGAGTGTGGTGGCTATGTGGATGTCCGCTCTTAGCGTTACTCGGAATCAACGACGTGGACGTGACGGATATCTAATTCCATGTGTGCCTGTGTGTGTGTGTATGTACACACCTTTATTACACATACAGACATCATGCCTATGTAAATTCATCATTTAAACAATTATATTATACATATTAATTATGATGGCGGATAATTAATATGGCGTTATTCCGGCGATTTAAGAGTTAAGTAAAACGTTTCGGCCAATGGGCTTACGCGTTAAATCGTTTTATCTTGGAACTCCTAAGCACGGTCCACCGCGTCTCGCTGGCACGTGGCGAGGGGAAGAACAACGCATCGCGGTGAATGACTTTACGCGCATGTTCATTGACCAAAACTTTTTACTTTTTACGTTTTACTTAATAGCTCAATAATTATGGTCAATAGCACACAATGGTATTAGACTTTCTTGTTTATCTGTTCTATTTTCTCAGTGAATATTTAAAGTTTTCTCTGAAACATTTTATATATAAAGTTTTATAACTCAGTATGAAGAAATTTATGGAGAAACATAGAACAGATTAAGATAAACATAAAGTCCCATACCGTTTTGCGATAGTTCGCAATAGTTATCGAGTTATTAATGACAAAAATCTGACAAGTGAGTGCGCGTCGAGATGAATGATCGAAGAAACGTTGTAGTCATTTGGGTAAGGCGTAGTCCAGCGATGTGGCGTGACGTAAGCGGCGAGATAAGACATGAATAGCGGCGGTTATTCTTTCCTTCGCGGTGCTCCGGCAACAGTTAGTAAATCAACTGAGCTGTGCTTTTGCTTGAGTGGTTACAATGCTTCTCCAATCATCCATCTCAGTGCGCGCTCACTAATCAGATTTCTGTCATTAATAACTCAATGATTATAAAGGGTGTCCCAAAATTCACGCAAGATTTGAATTTTACACCATTTGTGCGATAAAGTGTTGCCAACGAAAAAAAAGACAGCGTGACAGCTGACAATTCAGGGTTTTTAAAATGGAGTGCTACACGAAAGAACAACGCGTTTTCATTGTTGAGCAATATTTTAACACGTTGACTGCCACGGAATTTTTCACGATTCCGGTCGAAAGAGCCAATTTGATTTAATCATGTTATATTATTAAAAACTTTAATAATAGTACATAGTAATAATCAAAAAGCTTAAAAATGTTTTTTTTAAACATGTTTTAAAAATTATCACAAAACAAAAATTTATTTCCTTATATAAACTTTTTCTTTTTGAATAAACTTTGTATAATTGTATTTTCTGTTCATTTAAGCCAAACCTGATTTTTTATTCTCTTTCCTGAGGCCATCTATTCATATTTACACTGTTATGCTACGAGTTTCCTCGTAGCTGTACAAATATGGCAAGTAATGAAGGGACGAGATAACTCGTAGTAGGCGTCCTGGGCAAGTAAACAACCTACGAGATATCTCGTAGTTGGCAATCAACGTGTTAAAAATAATGAAAGTTTGGCAGCTACAGTTCGCAATTTTCGTACAAAATATGGCCGGAATAGTGATTTAACTTCATTAACTGTGAAGAGATTAATTAAAAAATTTAGGGAGACTGGATCAATTAGCGATCTTAAACACTCTGGCCGTCCTTCAACAAGTCGTTCAACACAAAACATAGAAGCAGTTCGTGAGAGTGTTGTTGAGAGTCCAGGAACATGAATTCGGCACCGTGGTCAAGAATTGGACATTTCGAGAAGCTCTCTACAGCGTATTCTCACGAAAGATTTGTATCTTCATGCTTACAAAGTTCAATTGACTCAAGAACTGAAGCCTACTGACCACGTACAGCGAAAAGAGTTCTTTGAATGGATTATGGAACAACAACAAATGGATGCTGATTTTTCGAACAAAATCATCTTCAGCGATGAGGCTCATTTTCATCTTGATGGCTTGGTTAATCGACAAAATTGTCGCATTTGGGGTTCAGAAAATCCATGAGTGATTGTTGAGAAACAAATGCATCCACTGTTTGGTGCGGATTTTGGGCTGGAGGCATCATCGGACCATTCTTCTTCGAAAATGCGGCTGGTCAGGCAATAACAGTTAATGGTGCTCGCTATCGCGACATGATAATCCAGTTTTTTGTGCCTAAATTGCAAGATATGGATGTGGACGACATGTGATTTCAACAAGACGGTGCCACATACCATACAGCCCGAGAAACAATTCAATTACTGCATGAGTCATTTCCTGATTGTATAATTTCCCGTTTTGGTGATCAGATTTAGCCGCCCAAATCATGCGATTTAACGCCGTTGGACTTTTTTCTTTGGGGTTTTTTGAAGTCTTAGGGTTTTGCTAACAAGCCCACGACCACCCACGCCTTGAAGGAGGAAATTGAGCGTTGTATCAACGAAATTCAGCCACATTTATGCAAAACGGTCATGGAAAATTTCAACAAAAGAGTGCATATGTGCCAGCAAAGCCGTGGAGGCCATTTACCCCATATGCTATTCCATACATAACCCTATATTGTATACTTTATGAATCAATAAAAAATTTACAATTTTTAATTATAAACCTGTGTTTTCTATCAAAATTACTTTTTGCGTGAATTTTGAGACACCCTTTAGCGAATATCGCAAAAAGGTATGGGGCTTTTATGTTTATTTTAATCCGCTCTGTCTACACGAATTCTTCGTACTAAATTATTAGGTAAGCAAAAAAGTTTTAAGCATTTTTTTTTGCAAAATTCAATCTATATTTAGTTGGCAACTAATTGTAAGTAATTGCGGATTTCACTGATAGATGACGTTAGTTGAATTTTTAAGTATATTTACGTATTCGAAATATCAAACTCATATTGTTTGATAGTGGGTGCTTCAATTGGCATTTAGTAAAAAAATTCTATCGATCGGTTGTGTAGTTTTTGTTTGGCGTCAGTTGAAAATTGGGAAAACAAAACGAACATTTTCGTCATATTTTGCTTTTTGACTTCTGCAAACGAAAAAACTTACCGCAAGTTCACAAAAAGTTATATACTGTATATGGTGACGAAGCCTTAAAAGAATGGCAGTGTCAAAATTGGTTTGCTAAATT